CAAACTCTTGACCTAACCATTCCTCTATATATATTCAAGTAAACCCTAATGCCATACACGTGAGAAAGCTGCAGACAAAGGCCATAGCATATTGAAAAATTCCAAGAAAAACTCAAAACTGATTTCTATATTCCAGGGCGATTCAAAGCTTTTTGTTGATTCTAATACCTTGCAGGAGTTCCCAGGAGTGTGTGGCAATCAAATTCAAGCCTTGAAGCTCAAAGAATCACCCTATACAGAGTCACGGTTTGCAGCTTTTATTCACAATCGTATATCGTGATTCATGCATCTTTAATATGTTTTCATGATCGTTTTGTGTTGCTAGGGACTGTACAAAGCTAATGGTATAGTTTAATTGCATTGAAACGCCATAAATCAAAAGTTGCCATGATCAATTTCTAGGGTTTTTAAGCTATGAATTTGGGGCTTTGCAATCCAGGAAAAATTAGGACTCCTAAGGCATACGGTTGAAATCCAGAGAACAAGACGAACCTGACCAAACCCTCGCGAAACATTTATATAAGCCACAATTCTATTCACTATTTTTCGCCACATTGTTTAGTGGGGGTTAAAAACCCCCGCTATTTGTTTATGTTTTGCAGGAACAAATGAAGAAGACGATGACGCGTTGATACGTTATTGGTCCTTTTAAAATCCGCGCGTTTTTTTATTCTTTTCAGGCACCTTTATTTGTTTGTTAATATATTGATTATTTATTACCCTAATAACAACTAAGGCAAGTTGGTGGAGTGGTTGATACGTGTGCATATGAACATTGGGACCTGGGTTCGAATCCCAGGTCCCCCAAAACGCTTATGTTATTTTTCTTAACGTATTCTTGTGCAGCTTTCCAAAAGGGTATCCACCATGTGCCTCACATCAGATCGTGCCAAGTGTCTTCACACTCAAATCCTGTGGCCAAAGATGAATGATCATCATGCTCCCAGTCAACCATGCGCATAGAGGATCTCCAAAGTCAAAGAGGCTGGAAACAATTGGGCTTCAGAATTTCCAAACTTACCTCCTAAATGGGCCAGCACCCCCTTGGTTTATTCTTCTTTTAATTCTTTTTCTTTTTTCTTCTTTATTCTAGTTATTTACTATAATTATTATTATTACTTAAATTAACCAAATTAATTTTTCATAATAAATTCAGAAAACTAAAATATTTTTTATTTATTAATTTCACCCTTTATTATTTTTGTAAATAAAAACTAACATCATTAATTTAGTTTAATTAGGGTTAATTTTAACTTTTTTTCAATAATTTAAAATCAACATAGAATTAGGGTTTTGACAATTTTAACCCTTTTATTTTTATTTTCTTTTTATTTTATTTTCCTTAAAACATTAAAAAACCAAAAATATTCCTTTTTATTAATTAGTTTTAGGTTTAATTTAATTCAATGCAAAAAAGACAAAAAAACTTCTTTCTTTCTCAAAAAGGGTCAAAACTCTAAAGACTTCTCCGATTCAATTCTTCTCTCGCGCATGTTTATTTTGATTCCTATTATTTTTATTCCAATTATGTAATTGTTCCGAGGATGTAATAGCTTTAAATAGGACCTTTTTATCGCTTTCTTTAATTTTCTCGCATTTACTTTTCAAGGGTTGTTTTTGGCGATGTAAATACCCGACGCCTTGTAATAGTCTAGATTTACTTTCCGCATAAGTATTAACTGTTAGATGTATGTTAATTAGGCTATGCATGACAAGACTTGTTCTCAAAATAAAATCAAAACGTAGCTCACCATAACATGTACAAAGATAATATAATCTGAATCCTGACACACTCGCACATGCCACTCCTAGGGTACGCCTCACTTGGTTGCCTCAACGTGGTCCTTGAGTATAGGGTGTTTTATAGGTTGCCCTCCTGTCTAAAGATCCAAGTTGCCTCGAAACGGTTGCCTCAGATAAAAAGGATCTAGGACATTAGGGTTACCGCTAAGGCGTCCTACTATTGCTTTGGTGACTACATGTCCCTATAATCGAATTGACCCGAAAAACTCCAACGACGGTGCTACCTACTTCTCAATAGTGGGATAGTACTGTCTAAAGGACATTTACACAGATTAATTTCTTTTGAGTAGGTAGAGGTTCTTAGATACTTGCTCTTTCAAAACAAACAAAAACACTTTTCGCACCTACACTTTTCTGACAAAAGTTTTCAAACAAACACTTCATACACTCTTGAGGACTGATACAAGAGTTAAAACGAAGTTTTCAAACAAACTTTTTCAAAACCCACAAACACAAGAAAAGCAAAACCTTTTTGAAAACATAGTGAGCAAGTACCTAAGATCCCGTGGATAACCACGGATAGAAAGGGTGCTAACACCTTCCCTTTCTATAATCTACCTCCCGAACCGAGAAACATCTCGAAAAGGAATTTTGCTGTACTTTTGTCCTTTCCTTGTTGGAGAAAATAAAAGACGGTGACGACTCTTTCTTACCGCGACATTTCGTGAACCAGCGTTCCAAAACAGTCAGTTCTATTTCCACCGATCACAATAAGTATATATGAGTGCACGTTATTATTTTTTCAAAACTCCTCTATGTGATATATTAGTATTTGTGTGATAAATGTCACTTCTCATGGATTGCTTTATCTCTTTTTGATTTTGTCAAAGGGGGAGAAGCATATGTAAGACGAAGTTTGGGATGCACATATTCGGGGGGAGCCTTCACAAAGACACGGAATGCTTCATCGCAAGTTTTTCCATCATAAAATAGAGGTAGTAAATGAGTGAACTTTCCCATTAGATGTTTTGTATGATGTCAAAACTAGGATAAATAGCATTTCTGTATATTGGACAATATCTCTGAGTCTATGTGTGCACCTTTGCGTTAGGAATCTTAGAATGCATTTTTAACATGTTCTGAAAAGGTATCATGCATTAAAAATGAGTTTTTACATGGAAAACTGAGTTATGTGTTGACACATACGATGTATGAGTCGACACATATGGATCAATAATAAAGCATGCAGCCTCTGTATCTATGTGTCAACATATAAAGCCTTTCAGGCCAATACATGCTGAAAATTTTCATCCATGTGTCGACACATACGTGTTTCAGGTCGACACATGTACGACATTTTTAAAGCTTGTAAGCTTTTGTTTCTATGTGTCGACACATGACCTTGAATAGGTCGACAAATGTCATTACATGTGTCGACACGTGACTTATATGTGTCGACACATACTATAAATTTTATGAAAAATTGCATTTCTTTTCTATTTCTAAGCATCCATTTTTCCTCTAACTTGCACTATATAAATACATCAGACATGCATCTTTTCCAATTTGATGAAACTATAAACACATACAAAAATTGCTCATCATCTTCAACTTCTCATCTATTCATACACACAAACAAAGTAAACATAATCAATCATTGTTTGGGTTCAATATAGACTTGTGTTGATAACAATCAATTTAGGTTGGTGTAACCTAAGACTGGGTTGAGAATTTTTGGGGGTTTCATCGGGAAAAAATTTGAAGGTTTTCCTCCAAGATCAAAGTGTTGATTTAAGGGTTTTGAAAAGGTTTCACAAATATTGGATTCGACCGAGTGAATAGGTTTGAAGAAAGGAAGGTTATTGCAAAGGAGTAGCGTGAGACAGTGAATCATTTGGTAACCTTAAGTGACAACAATTTACAATTTTGGATTCGGCCAAGTGAAATATTTGAAGAACGGTGGTTTCTTGCAAAGGAGTAGCGCGAGACAATGGATCAAATTGGTATTGTAGGGTGACTTGATCAAACTCATATCAAGAGAAGAGAAAGTTCTAGGATCAACATCAAACACAAAGTTTGTAGGGTTGGATTGCCACATTTTTCTTAAATGATTTTTTGCATAGTAAGAATTCTTATCTCAATTCTAAACGAAATTGGGGGCAGACGTAGCCATATCGAGGACAATTGGTGAACTTCCTAAAAAATCCTTGTAATCGATTTGTATATACTTATCCTTTGATTGTTAAACATTTCTTTGTTGATTACATTATAATAAATTAGATTGTAAGAGGTATTTCATATCAATAAAGTCAAATGGAAAATCAGAGAAATCGGTTGGACGCCAAGTGTTCGACAATTTGCATGTATTAGCTTTATCAATAATTTCATTGGAAATTGGTTCATAATTATGATTATTATAAAAGTATTGATTTAGAAATTATTATATTGATTCTCATCATCATTTTAGATTTAATTATGTGGTTTACGCATATCCGAGTTTCCAATAGTTGGTTCTATTTAGACGACTTGTTCAAACTTGGCTTAATCTTCTGCGTGCTATAGTTTTTGACTTACTTTCAAAATAGAATTTTAAAAAGTAATTTTTACTTTGGGGATCTATTCACCCCCATATAGATAAGTTATCGTCGTGTAACACTTTGGAAAAGCATGGAAGAGATTAGTATTGACTCTGAGAAAGTTTTTATACCTACAAAGAAGATTAAGGTTCTGATGTTAGACCACATGTCCTATTATTGTGCCCAACATATGTCATCTCATTACCGTGGTATCAAGAAACTGCCTCAGATATGTCACCATTGTGGAATATATAGACATACAAGGCCTTATTGTCATGAAATTTTGAAGATTAGAAGATGCAAGGAAGCCCTTTCCAAGAAGAAGAGGAAACACAATGCTAAGTCTACTAGCTCATTAGCTCATACATTACACAGGGGCTCGTCAAGTAAAGATTGGAATTTAATAATAAGGGCACGTGGCACAATTCTAAATAAAATACTGCTTATGTCACTCCTATTAATAGAGCAAAGGAAAGAATCAAGACCTTTAGGAAATTGGTTAATTGTTATCAAAGGAGGAATATGGACTTCTCCATATTCAAAGGGAGTGTCTTTAATAAGGTAGAAAAAGTACCTATTTAGAAGAATACACCCGAGGAAGACATCAAGGCTTTGCAAGATCTCAGTATTGATAAAGATAATATGTATGAAAAGGAAAGGCTAAACCAGATGTCAAAATAAATGGTCAAACATCTGTATCAGGAGTCTGGATCTTCTCTTCAGAATGGTTTAAGACTTAAGCAAGAAGGTATCATTGAAGGGAAGGTTTATTTTCAGGATGGAGGTCCTCCCAACTTTGAACAACCTACTTTGGGTAGGAAGAATAAGCTAAAGAAGATTGGTCATGGCATAATTCATCTAAATAGAATGAATTCTCATAAGTCTAAAAGTGTGATTAACCAAAGACATGATATGATGACTGGTGAAGAAGAAGTTGGTGTGTTGAAGTCCAGCCACAAGATATATGTATTAGATAATTCTTTCAACATTCCAATTATTGACAAGTCTGATCTTGTAGCTAATATGAGTGTTGTTCCACTCAGGTTTGGTTCTATGAGAAATCATCATGATAAAGATTCCTAGGGAAAAAATTGAGAAATCCTGATTGTGATAAGGATGTGGCAGACATCCTGTACGACATGTTGACAGAGCCTCAACTACATAAGGAGAATGACGATCTTATTCATGAAGATACTGAGATTGATATTGCTATAAATAATAGTGGTGTTGTTAACTACCATGGTCATGCATTAGAAGATGTGAAGACTCTGGTGAAGGAGTGAATGAGATCCATTATACTACTAATGTCAAGGAGTATAGATTGATTTCAAATGATATGACTACCCAAATTAGTGAAATTGTTGACTTTATTGGGCTGATGGATGAGAAAAGTGCCTCTGTTAATAGGTACTTAAATATGGAAACTTAATACATTCTTTATGCCAAGAGAACTCATGAAAAGGATAATGTAGTGATGGTAAATGACGTATTGATAATGATGTTTGTTCTCATGAAGAATCTATCTCTTTAAACAATGGAGTTCATGCTAAGTTTGTACAAGTTATTGAAGATGTTGATCCCTACATACATGTGCTGAAGAGAAAGGAGTTAAAATGGATAGCTACTGAAAGAGAGACTCCAAAATAAGCTCTGGTAACTAAATAAAGTGACCAAGTTCTAGAAAATATCAGTTGTGTCAACAACTTGAAGAGTATTCATATGGAAGACAATGAGAAAGTGATAATTATCATTCTCGCATAGGAAATTGTTTTAGGTAGAATATCAGTAGAGGTGTTAGAAATTTGTGTTCAACAAATGCTCAAAGAGGGAATCTAAGATGTCTTTTCAGATGTGTCAGACATAGTGAGTAACATAGTGGTAACTAAAGTCCCATCTCAGAGGGAGGATATGCAAGTTGATTAAGGAAATGCATTGGTCATTGTGTTCAGACTAGGGGGCAAAAAGTTCCCACAAATAATGAAAGTGTTGAAGTGGATGTGTTTGTATCATAGAAGGACATGAATTGAAATGAAGATGTCAATAGAAGTCTTAACATTTGAAGAAGTGGTTCAACTTTTGAAAGAAGTATGCGTAATATACATGAAGAACCTCATGATGAGTAACACTTATGACAATGTAGATAATAGGAAGATATATTTAGATAAATGCCTTACTTCTGTCAACAACATCATATTTAGGATAAGAAAGGAGCAAGTGTGTGAAGCTGAATACACATCAATGGGAAGCCATGGAAAAAACTTGATATGGATGAGCTAGATGTTGAAGAAATACGATGTGGGACAAGATGTCGTAACATTGATTTGGGACATTCTCACTAAATCTTTGAATGGAAATCAATTTAAAATATTGAGGTTTGTCCTTGGTATTTGCATCTTTCAGAGTCCATAACAATCAATGCTGGGGAGTTTTGTCAAAAGAGAAAAAGTGTTTCTCTCGCCTAAGATTACTTTGGCACACAAAATAAGGAAGTTTCCTTGGTTATATCAAGTGTGGTATAATTGGGCCGAAGTTACAAGCAAGAAAAATGGACATCTTGCCTTATTCTACTCTTAACATGAATTAAAATCAGGATGGTGGAAGAAAACTTGTTCAAGAGATTGAGGTTTCAAAGGAGGTTATTGATATGCTGAAGTTATGGTTGAAAAAAGTCGAGGAAGATGAAGAGGTTAGAAATAACATCACAGTTATTGGAATCTTATGATGGAAAAAGCATTAAAAAGATTCTATTTAAGAATTTGAACCCTTAAAAGATAAGAAAGATAAAGGCTATTGCAAAGGACCTAATGAATCTGGATGTAAGTGATTGTAAATCAAATGAATATCTTGAGAACTGAATGGATTCACTTAGGCATGAAGATTGAAGACCTTTTGGTTAAAGCAAGCTTCTGATCTTGGTGGTTGATGGGGTAATTTTTTTGGCCCTTGTATTATGGGCATGTTTTTCTTGTTTTTCTATAAGGGCTATGTAGCCTCTTGAGACTGGGTTATGTAATAATGTTGTGCATCTTTTGATGCTGATTTTGGTGATTTTCCTCATGTTCCGATTGTGTATGTTCTAACATACTAACCTTTTCATGACTGGCCTTGTGCATGTTATCTTCTTTGCATGTTGAGTTCTTTAAAGACCTAACCTTTTGCCAAATCATGGAAAAAAGGGGGAGTAATTAGAAAAAGTGGTGTATTTACTCTATGCAAGTAAACCTGATGATTGTTTAGTACTGACTGATCAGGAAGTACTAATGTTGTGCTTTGTAACACCCCAAATATTATATTTTCAATTTAATATGCTGTTAAGATTTATTTGATGATAGTAATTTGCATGAGGTTTAGTGGGGATAATGAAGGAAGACCATATTAGGGATCTAAGGGTTAAACTGGTAATAAGGAGGAAGTAAAGTTGAGAACAATCATTCTATACGATTGAATTTTGGATAAAAGAAAAAGCAAGGGGGTGAGAAAGAACGAGGGAAAAGGAGAATCCACTATTAAAGCTTAGGAATCGTCAATAAAAGGTAATAGTGGGGTTGCAACTTTGTAAGGGTTCTGAGTAATGATTGGCATGTTTGGGATTATAACTGCCATAGTTTTTGTGTGTTCTTGTTATGGAATTTCTTGTATGAATTGAACCCATTGTTAGAACATAATTTGGTTCTACATCCTAGTAAGAGTTTTAATGATAACAAACACATGATATAAAGATCAAATATGCTCGCTAATAAAAGTATCTTTACATGCAGAAAGTTCTGATGTGAAAAAGATGTTTTGATGTAACTGGAAGTTCTGCTAGAACATCACTAGAAGTTCTGATTACGCGAGCATAAAAGTTGAGAGTACCATGATAGATTCAGACGCATCAAATCTAAGTGACACGCTTATATGAAGAAGTTCTATTACAACTTCTGAATACACCAAAGCTGTGAAAAAGGATCTCTGATACTCCGATTTGAAAAGTTCTAATACAAGCTGTAAAGGACTCTCAACGGTAATATTCATCCTCTGATGTGAGAAGTTCTGAAGCGTTACGATTATATCAATGCAATATCATAAAGTAACAGCTACAAACAGAAAAGGATCTCCTGGTTTGGAAAGTTCATTAACTCGTGTTATGGACATACCAAAAGTATCTTCTTATGTCACTATTGTATGGCCTATATAAAGCAGACAAAAAGAAGATTTCAAGATGATGAAAACACTGCGCACAAAAAGAAGAAATCACATGAAGCTACAATAACGCAACAATCATCTTTCATCCTCAAGCATTCATATTCAAACTGTGTAAAACATCACTGTTAGTGATACTGTTTATTAGAAACATTATTGTACACATTTATTCAATTACTGTTTAGACATTTCCTTGAGAAAAACGGGTTGTGGTTTTGGACTCAAGAAGACTTTGACAGTAGTCAAAGTAGTTTTATAATTAATATTGATTAGTGAATTAAGACCACGTTGGAGAGAGGAGAAATCACCTTGGCGGATGGACTATAGCAGTTTGAGTTCAAACGAACCAGAATAAAAATCAAAGTGTTCTTTCCATTGTATTTCGTGATTCCAATTCAACCCCTCTTTCTTGTGTTTTCCCTTCTTCAATTGGTATCAGAGCACCTAGATCTGGGTGCAAACACTTAACCGTGTCAAAAATATCCAAGGAGGAAAAAACCCTATGATGGGAACAAGTTAGAACATCAACAGCAGCCCTCCAATATTTGACGGTGAAAATTTTGACTACTTGAAAGATATGATTAGAAGTTTCTTCCTAGCCTATGACGCTGACCTCTGGGATATAGTAACTGATGGATACATACATCCTATTGATGAAAGCCATCAGAAGATTGACAGGAAAAGGACGACAGATCATCAAAAGCAAGACTTCAGAAATCATCACATGGCCATAACTATTCTCCTGAGTGCCATATCATATTCATTGTATGAGAATATCACAAACAGAGAGACAACAAAGCACATGTTTGATTCTCTGAGAATGACGCATGAAGGAAACACACAAGTAAAAGAAACCAAAGCCATTGCGCTCATTCAGAAGTCGGAAACCTTCAAAAGTGAAGAAGATGAAACCTTTGAAACAATGTTCTCTAGATTCCAAATTCTGGTGGCTGGGCTAAAGGTGTTGGACAAAGGGTACTCAACTACTGATCATGTAAAGAAGATCATCATAAGTTTACCAAAGCAATAGAGACCCATGGTCACCACTCTCAAACTGGAAAATGATATGAACAAAATATCTCTAGAAGAACTTGTCAATTCTCTCAGAAGCCAAGAGATAGAGTTAGAAGATGATGAGCCTCAGATGCAAGGTAAGTCTCTCGCTCTGAAATCTAATAAATATGAAACCAAATTTTTCAGGCAAAAGCAGAAGCAAAAAACTCTAGAGAATCCTCGTCAGAAGAAGACAAACTGTTCTTTCTATCCAGAAGAATCAATCCGCTGTGGAAGCACAGGCAGTAGAATTTCAGAAACTCCAGAAGAACATGAAATGACTCTGAACAATCTTCTGGATACAAAAAATCCAGTAACAGAAATATTACCTGATATGAATGCAACAAACAAGGTCACTACAAAAGTGACAATCCAAGGATTCAGAAGGAGAAACCTAAAAGGAAGTTTGTTAAGGAGAAGAAGAAAAGTCTTATGGTAACGTGGGATGACTCTGAATCTTCTGAAGACGGAACAGAATCAGAAGATGAACAAGCCAATATAGCTCAAACGGACAACTTATCAGATGTCTCTGAACACTCTGAATTTGAATCAGAATCAGAATCAGACTCAGAGTCAAAAGAGGTACTTTCTAACTTTTCTAGATCTCAATTAGAGGAGAGTCTGTCAAAAATTCTAGAAAGGTATCAGAAGTTTTGAGTCATAAACCAGAACCTGAAAAGAATCTAGTTTCTGACTCTGAAGAAACTAAGATTCTGAGACTAGAAAACTCTGAGTTGAAAAAAATATTTTTTAACTTGAAAATGATTTACAAAATACTCAGAAGGAAAATGTCTTAGAAGTTCCTAGTAACCCTGATACAATCATAAAGGAATATGATCACAGCTTTC